TCGAAAATTTTCTATCGGACGATTCCCTCGTTCGTGCATTTCAACTTGCGACTCACTAACAAACTCACAACGCCGCTCCGCTCGAAATTAATTTACCGCACATTTTTTTCTTCTTTTTCTTTCTTTTTTTTTTGGTTGCATACTTGGGCATGCTTTTTTAATCAAAGGAAGCGGCTGCGATGTCGTTGCAAAGGGAGCAGGCAATGGCAGGAATGACAGCGATCTGCTGCACGAGATCGACAAAGCTTTGAGAATCGGCAGGGGATTTCTACTTGGGCAAGGTGCGTTCGCAATTTTGCTTTATCGCCGACAGCATGCTTTACACGGTTTGCGAGAGATGCCATTCTCCAAACGAAAAATCGTTTGTAACAAGAGAGAAATACCGAGAAAGATCGAGATGCTCCGGCACCGAACCAAAAGTTGCAAAATTGTATAGAATTGAAATTTCGGATATTTTACTTCACTTACTTTGTTTCAATGACGACGATCGAAAAAAAAAAAAGAAAACTCGGACTTGGCGTTCATCTTTCAAGCGAATGTATACACGCATATATAGCTCGGCTGGTTGGCGGTGGGCTCGAGATTTCATACACGAGCAGCCTCGGACGACGTCGTCGTCATCGACGTCGGCGTAGTGAGCGTCGCGCGGCGTGGCGTCGAGCCTCGTCGGCGTCGCGACGCCTCAGTCGGCTGGCACCTACCGTGCTACTTTCCCGTGCCTCCCCGAGAAAAGTGTCCCCATTGAGATACGCACGCCAGATCGGAAAAAAAAAAAAAGAAAAAAAGAGTCTCGTCGAGATCATAAAGTGACGATGTTGGAGAAAAGTGAGTGATCATTTCGGGAACGTCGATGCGTTATTGAGAGATAACGAGGAACGAAGACGCGATAGGTGTTTGTGAATTTCTTCAACAGGTAGTCCCGCGATCGCGAGGGAGCTCGAAGCTCGCATTCGTTTGAAGGAGATATTCAGAAGAGAATTGCAAGCGGCGCATTTCTTAAATTATTTCTTCTTCCAAATCGGCGAGGAAATTCATGAAAATATGAAAATATTTAATTGGTAGAAATGAATAAATTTGTTTCGCGCGAAAGGGATTAATTTTGAGAAATTCCAGTTTGCTTCAGTGTAAATTATTTGATCGGCATTTTTGAAAAATGCATCGTATACTTATATACTTTTAGTCTACCATGAAATAAGGCAAACCCACTTGGCTTTGTTCTTCTCCTTGCGCTCGTTTCGCGGCGGTCCATCAAGATCGCTTTTATATTAATGAATCGCGGCGGTTCCATTATAAAGGTAACTTTGAAGAGCCCTCGAGACGACATTGAACGCGACGTGTAATATAAGCCTTGCATCGCGCAGTGTTGACCCACGATAAGCATCGAGATTATTTTGCGTTGATAATTGTGATTTCAGTTTTGGAAAAGCCCTTTCTCGCGAACGTGGAGATTAATTTTTAATTTTTTGGGAAATCGTGAGGTAGACTGAAAAATTGCGTTGAAAATCCGTCGTGTTAAAAATGTGTTCTCAAAATGAAAAAAAAAAAATAGCAAAACTTTCGAAACGGCGAGAACCCGAGACATTTTGTTTGACAAAATGTTATTTAATGCTTTCAGAGAACGTTATGTTCGCCCCCACGTTTAAAGCCTCGTCGGCGAAACCAGGTAAACCTGCGCGAGGAATGTGTGAGAAAACTAACAGAGCATTTTCACGTTGTCGTCGTGCATCTTGCATAATGACTGAGGATGCAATCTGAAATATTAATATCCGACGTTGCCCGTTCTCGAGTACCACTCGAGTAACCACAAGTTAATATTTGTTATATTAACACTTTTATAACGAGATGCTCGTTAATTAATTAATTAACTTCTTTCGATTGGGTATTGGGACTGACGCAAATGAATGATGAGCGGCGCGATAAGAGAAATGGAATTGCCAATCGGGAGAGTGTATTTTATTACACTAACCAACCACCCGTTCCGAAGATGTAATAAAATTAATTACGCGTGGGGTGCGGGTCGCATTGTGCGAGGCCACGTGTGTTCTTAGCGGCGAGGTCATAATTAAGTCAGTTCTTGTCACACGTACGTGTGTGTGCGCGCGCGTACGTGCGTGCACGCTCCGAGTAACGGGCGTAATCTTGTTCTGCAATTTGTCTAGGTAAGGGAGGAAGGCGCACATTAATTTCGGTTACCTGGAGGAAGTCGTCCTATTGGTGCCTCGACTAATTGCTATCGCCGCGGCTGCTAGTCGCGCGTGCATGTCCAAAAACGATGGCAATTCGATTGTTTTTGACGTTTCGAACGCTGAACGCAGCTGACGTTGCGACAGCGTTGATTAATCGCACGGACGTTGCAATTAGCGAAAACGTACAGCCGTCGTAACGGTATCGTAAATTAACGCGTACAACATCAGTTATCGTATAGAGAAATACGCGTCAGGCGAGCGCTGTCGCGACATGATAAACATGTCAAGGAGAGCTGTCTATTTTTCTCTATTTTTCTCGCGCTTTCAACGATTCTCGATCCCGGATCTCTTGGCCGATTTCGTTGGATTTCGTTAGCGTTAGCGTTAGCGTGCCGTGCGCAGAAAAGTCGTCCTTCTAGAAAAACAGAGTCGCCGCGGCGCGGCATTGTGTTCAGGTTGTCCGCGGCCAATTGCAATTACGCGTATCTTATAATGCCTAACGCCGCCCACGCGAACTTCTAATTTTACCCGCGTCCCAAATGAACCACCCCTGATTTCCTGTTGCCGCGCGTGCACGCGAAAGATACGGCTCTGCAAATTGGCCGAGAGATTCAATTCCAAATCGAGCATATGCGACTGACTCATCCGCGACGACGACCATCGTATCTTTATCGTTGTCTCCCCCACCTGACATTCGAGCGAAGTCACCCGTCGATAGCTTCATTTGTGTCAGCGGCATTGCGACACGACACTTTCGTTCTCACTCGAGTCGATAAATCCTTCCTTGATCCGTTATTTAAAAAGAGAATTGCGGTGACGCTTAAAAAACGATATGCGAGCCTGTAAAAAAATAATCTTCGGCGGCTTATTTTCCTTTCAGATTTTTCGCGAGCATGTACTATAAGCTAATTATAAACGTTGCGGAAGATTTAATAAGATCGCCTGCGTCAAAGGAACCGTTTTTTAAACAGATCGAATTAGTGATGCGCGATGACGTAGGAAAAATGTAGGAAGTGTAGCCGGGAAAAAGATGATTCCTTATGTAATGCGCCCCCCGTGTGCCAAGATTAGCATCGCGCTCGTATACATTTCATGCGTTAGCTTCAGAGCCAATCTACCAAATCCACGTAATGCAGCTGTTTCAGGAGCAAAGACCTTTCTTCGCGAGTTCGCTTCGACCTTTGTACAATTATCAACAGGTTTTATATCGAGACGGTTGATACGTCCAACGTTGTAAAACGTTCAATTTTTTTTAATGATAGACGTGGAGTTTTATTTATAGGAAATAGTCGATCGACCTGGTCTTTCCTTTTTAAAGTGAGATTGCTATCAGTGGTCTGACGATAACTACATGTGCCTGAGTGTTAACTAACAAAGGTCGCACTCGTCACGTCGCGAATGAATTTTCAAGAGCGAAATTTTCGTTTGCCAGGCGTTTGGTCGCCAGGACAAACGCCAGCTGGGAAGGCACCGAGTCCCGATCGAACCAAAGAGCCACAGAAGAACGAGCCGATCCCGTCGGTCTGGACCCCCGCCAGCGCCGGCGCGAGCCCCGTCGCCGAGAAGAAGGAATTTCGTCCCGTGCTGTTCGAGAGTCCTGTGCTGAGCCGGAAGAGGCAGCCAAAGGAAGAGGTACGTCGGTTAATTAACATCGAGACGCCAGCTATTTACCGAACGCGCGATTGATCGAGGCGTCAAGCTTGCCATGCGAGATTTATGCAAGATTCAATCCGAACGGCTTCTCACGCGGAACAATAACGAGACTCGAAATCCTTTTTGCGACGAAAAAAAGGGGGGGGAAAAAATTAGAGAAACGCGTTCTCTTTGTCCAAACCGTTTTCAATTTCTTCCCTCACGTACGGTCGAGTGGCGAGGTTCAAGGGTACGCACTCTCACGCTAAAACTCTGTTCAAGGAGGCGCCTCCACCTTGGGAACGCGAGGAGAGGAAGGAGGGCGGCATCTCGCGAATTGTAAATTCGCATTCGGCCCCCTCTCAAGGGTTGAACGCTCTCGCGTCCACCCCGCGCTTGCCACGTGCCCAGAATCCGACTATCACGCTGCTGCAGAAAGCACGAGGTTAGCATCGGATTATAAGAATCTCCTCCTTGTCGAATTGGGGAAGACGAATGAAAGGAGTGGTGGATAGGGATATTAAAGATTTATAATTTTCTCCCTAGCTGATCGTATTGTGATTTTATTGCAGAGGGACAATTGCCGAAAGGCGCGGCTTACTTGGAGAGCGAATCCGCCGAAAATCGATCGTTGAACGACGAAAGACCGCTAATCTCTCCGGGAGAAATAAGTAAGTGTGCTAATATCAGTTTTTAAATTAAATAACCGAACGTTACAGCGTTATGATTATTATTATATTATGATAACTTTTATTACGAGAGCCGTCTCTCGTATAAATTTATATGTACCGATTTTTACACCGGAAATCCAAGTCCACATCTATCTGTCCCTTCATCACTAACGTTCGCTAATTAGCTGTGATAACTGTCTAATTACGTAAGTGTCGATACTACAATATTCTCTTGATTGAGCGTACGCGAGTGCTAATGGTCTATTTGTGAAATTGAATCGTCCAGTCTACACGGTGAAGAAGGAATATGAGAGTGAGCCGGAAACGGAGAATGAACGGCCGAAGAAGATGGCCGATCTGGGCCCTCGAAAGTTCGAGGGGATCGGCCCGACGACTAAGGAGGGTATCCCTCTCGTGTTGAGATCGGTAGGTCGCTAATTATTAAGCGAATCGAAATTACACATCTCCCTCGATCTGCACGTGTTTGACAAGCAGTCACGTGGGAGTAAAAATCTTTTTATTTCGCAAATATTGAATCACGCGTCATAAGTTACTTTACGTTTGCGGCGTACGATGCGATGCTTCTCTCTCTCTCTC